ATACCTCGGGCTCTTCACGAGCCATTAGAGACACCACCTTTGTTGGTTCTTCTTTCTTGTTTCCATGGATTTCCTCAAGCTTATTCCAAAGCTCTTTGGCATTTGAACATGAAGAATCCCCTTCATAGATTTCATGACCAAATGCACAAAACAACATATGCATAGCCTTGGCATTTAGTTGAGCTTTCTTCCGTTCTTTGTCACTCATCTTCTTCTCCTTCTTCTTTGGAGAAGAGTAGCCGTTCTCGATTATCTCCCATGCATCAAGATCATTGGATTGGATGAATACCTTCATTAATTTCTTCCAATGATGATAGTTGACTCCATTGAAGTATGGAGGCTTGTCCGTTGGTAGGGAGTATTCCATGTGGAACGAGCCGGAGGTGGAAGCCATCTTCTCGGTTGTATCGGGAATTGGTAGAGCTTCTTCTAGGACCGTCTCAAGGTGGTTAAACCTTCTTAACGAGTTAGGATCTGATACTAATTGTTAGGATTTTCGGAAGCTCGAATAGACAACCCGAACAGTTTGCAAAGAGGGGTCGGAACGGATTTGTGTTTAGGGAGTAAGGAGATTGAAAGATAGAGAATTGCACAGCAATTTATAGTGGTTCGACTTTCTCAACCAAAGTCTACATCCACTACCTTAGCTCATCACCAAGGATTTTCCAACAAATTCATTAATTTGTTCTTTCTTTTGAGGATAAAGAGTAACCTTATAAACTCCCTAGTTTTTCTGGGCTAAACTAGAACCTTTCCCTAGTTTTTACACGGGCTAAGCTAGAACATTTCCTCTTTACAAAAAGATAAAAGATGTAAACAATAAAACCTCCCTAAGGTAGGTGTTTACAAGAATTAAGCTCACAAAAACAAAATATTTACAAGAGAAAGATGAAATAAGAATGAAAAACTCTTCTCTTGTGTTTGATTGCTTGGATAGTTGTTCTCTTACTTCTTCAAGTGTCCTTAGCTTGTATTTATAGCTTGGAATGTGTTTGAAGTCGTATATAGTCGTTGGGAATGTTTTGGAGCTGTTTGGGGATGAGAAATAACTAATAAAACAACTTGGAGCGTAGGGGGAATCGGTACCCCCTCATGGGGAATCGGTTCCCTAAGTGTAAAATTCAAATATTTCGACTGTTAAACAGGGGGAATCGGTTCCCTCCGAGCATTCTGTTTTTCTCGGAGCCAAACCATTCAGGGGGAATCGATACCCCCTTGGGGGGGAATCGGTTCCCTCTGGACATTCTGGAATTTTTGGCTTTGAAATGGTTCAAAATGTTTTGTAAAATTGTTTTGAAATTATTTTAAGTTTAAAACTTAATTTTACACTTTAGTAAGGATTAAAAATGACATTTGAAAGATTTGGAGTAATATTTTGATATTCGAATAATTATATCTAATATACTTAGAAAATCTTTTTGGAAAATCTTAAAATTCATTTATCTTAATTTGTTATATCGAAATATCAAAATGTTTTCAACACATGGTCTGTGCATCGATGCATAAAATGCATTCGATGTTTTCATAAAACCTGAGTGCATCGATGCATAAAATGCATTCGATGTTCAATTTATTCAATGGTGCATCGATGCATGGATTGGTGCATCGGTACACTCTTTTGAAAAATTGATTTTTCTCTCATTTTTTGTTCGAAATACTTTGTGAAAATTGTTTCAAACATATTTTAAGATTAAAACACAATTTTACACTTTAGTAAGGATTGATATTTGAAAGACTTGGAGTAATATTTTGATATTCAAGTAATTAAATCGAATATACTAAGAAAATCATTTGTAAAATCTTAAAATTCATTTATACTTAATTTGTTATATCGAAACATCAAAATGTTTTCAACATTTTTCCTTCCCCTTGCGTGAGAGTTCTCTCTAACCTCTCTCACTATAAACTTTTTTAATAAAACTTGCACACTATAAACTCTTGCCTTTGCTAAGGCTTGGTGAAGAATGAAGTGAATGGAGAGGAAGAAAAGAAGACAAACTTGTGTGAGGGAAAAAGAGGAGAGGAACAAATGAGATATTACTATTTCGAAAATGGTTTTGAGCTTTATTTTTTAATCATGGTCTAATTGCACTATGGGTCCTCCTGATTTTTGTTGTAAACTAAAAATACTCTCTTTATCCACTATTGGGCTCAACACAAGCCCAATTTCACTTGTTTTTGGGTCAAGGCTTCCCACAAGTCAAAATACTTGCCCAAAGCCCATTTTAAGTTAGCCCAAAACTCTTAACCTAGGATCTGGGGCGTTACACCTACATACATATTGAATTTTGATAAAAGAATTAAGAATAGAGAATATTTTATTCTCTAGATTAATAAATATTATTTTTAATAAATTAATAAAAATATTTATTTATCAATTAACTAATAACCTCGATAAAATGATAATTTTTTGGGTTACAATAGTATTATTTTATAAATTTTGTATTGCAAGTTAAATTTTTAGATAAAAATTAGATTGAAATTTATACAATTTTAAAGAATACAAAAAATTATTAAAAAATTAAAAATATTTTTATATATTTTTTTCGTGGTTTAAGTTTAAATATTCTATATATTAACATTAAAAATTTTAAAGATCACTTAAGTTAATATTTTTAACTTATATTATTATTTGTAAAATGCTCATTTCTCTTTTTAAAATTACTTTTTGAATATAATGCTAAACATTATTAAATAATTCAAAAATGCTTTTCAATTTTTTAAATATTTTTTCCAAATTATTTTTTAAAAATATTACTAAACATATTTTTAGTATATTTTATCTCTATAATATCTGATTCAAATTAATCGATCAATAAATTTAATACCGATAATTATATAAAAAAATTATGTTGAGAGATTTATTTATTAAAATCAAACATACAGCATAAATTAGTTTAAATTAATCGAGCAGAAGTCCTAAAGAACGGGAGTAAAAGAAAGAGAAAATCGCCTCAGTGACCAAAAATACTTTATAATATACGATTTTAACCAATTTTTTTTTGGATTTGCCAAAATGACCAATAACGCAACGCGATTTAGAAAATCGCAACGTTAAAAAGAAAATCGCAACGGTCAAAAGAAAATCGCAACGCGAGCTTCCAAGTTCGCAACGCGATTTAGAAGAAAATCGCAATGCGATTGATAGAATCGCAATGCGATTTATAGAATCGCAATGCGATTGAGAGAGTCGCAACGCGATTTAGAAGAAAATCGCAATGCGACTGAGAGAATCGCAATGCGACTGAGAGAATCGCAATGCGATTTATAGAATCGCAATGCGATTGAGAGAATCCCAACGCGATTTAGAAAATCGCAACGTTAAAAAGAAAATCGCAACGGTCAAAAGAATAGTTAAAAAAATTTTGTTTCTTAAGAATTTTCTCTAAAAATATAGTATCCGCGCGGACGTGTCGAAGACACGTATTACCACGACCACGACCACGACCACGACCACGACCACGACCACGACCACGACCACGACCACGACCACGACCACGACCACGACCACGACCACGACCACGACCACGACCACGACCACGACCACGACCCGACCCGAGACGAGACGGCGGCGGCGGCGGCGCGCGAGAGTCCCCCTTGTCCTCTTTCACTCAACAAGGAAGTGCAAAATACAAGCCTTAAATACCATTCCCAATAGTATTTCCAATACTATGTGGGATTGAGCATTACCAACACTTGTTCCAAATATCATTATTCTTCATAAGTTATCATCCATTACAATATGAATTAGTCGTGTTAATGAACCAATATACCTCATTAATATATGGTATTGTTGAACAAAAGAATGATGATGATGATCTTATTAAAGACCATATAATACGAAAGAATCCAATGCATAACCGATACCTTATTGTGAAACTAATTCACATAGAGGTTGTACGTGAAAAAAAAATCTTTTACTTTTATAGTAAATATCTATCTCAATAATTTTAATATAAAAAATATATTTTTTATTTAATAATAGAATTATTTCATGTATTTATCAAGTTATAATTTTAAATACTTATTAAAATGAATTAATTTATTATCGATAATTCATATTGTAATGGATGATAACTTATGAAGAATAATGATATTGGGAACAAGTGTTGGTAATGCTCAATCCCACATAGTATTGGAAACACTATTGGGAATTATATTTAAGGCTTGTATTTTGCACTTCCTTGTTGAGTGAAAGAGGACAAGGGGGACTCTCGCGCGCCGCCGCCATCGCCGTCTCGTCTCGGGTCGTGGTCGTGGTCGTGGTCGTGGTCGTGGTCGTGGTCGTGGTAATACGTGTCTTCGACACGTCCGCGCGGATACTATCTTTTTAGAGAAAATTCTTAAGAAACAAATTTTTTTTAACTATTCTTTTGACCGTTGCGATTTTCTTTTTAACGTTGCGATTCTATAAATCGCATTGCGATTCTCTCAGTCGCATTGCGATTTTCTTCTAAATCGCGTTGCGACTCTCTCAATCGCATTGCGATTATATAAATCGCATTGCGATTCTATAAATCGCATTGCGATTCTATCAATCGCATTGCGATTTTCTTCTAAATCGCGTTGCGAACTTGGAAGCTCGCGTTGCGATTTTCTTTTGACCGTTGCGATTTTCTTTTTAACGTTGCGATTTTCTAAATCGCGTTGCGATTTTGATATCGCGTTGCGATTTTATTGGTCATTTTGGCAAATCCAAAAAAAATTGATTAAAATCGTATATTATAAGGTATTTTTGGTCATTGAGACGATTTTCTCTAAAAGAAATGTCCTCATTCATGCAAACGGCACATCAATATTTTAAAGATCTTTTTATAACATATTTGAGTTTTTATTTTATTTTATTTGTGGTCCGTACCAAACAATCATAGATTATACTTACTGTTTTGACCCGGACCGCCCGGTTCGAGCCGATTTATAATTAGGTGCATGCATTTCCTTACCCCCTTACCTGGCTCTATAAAAAGCGAGACGAGGCGTTCTCTAATTCCCGCAATAGGAGGAGTAGAAATTGGTATCAATATTTAGGTTTTGGTTTCAGTTTAGTGTGTGATGCAACAGAGAGGAAGAAATAACAATAGCAGATCAAGGTCTTTTTCCAGATCTCGCCTTGCAGTCGAGGGAATTTAGCTCTTCTTTTTTCTCTTTTTATTTCCAAAAAAAAAATTAAAACTTTTCCACACGGAAAGCTTGCTAGAGGTCTCCTGTGTTAACAATGGCGACTAACGGTGAGATCTCCTCCTCCGTATCAATGTTTGTTGTGTTATTTTTGGATTTTGGACCGTGGAGATTTGAAATTGACTGACGAAATGTAATGGAAATTTTGTGAACCGATATGGATATCTGATCGACATTTGACTGAAAAAATGTAAATAAAATTTGATTGTTTGAAAAATGATAGGATTTGTAGGCGATGAACGAAAGGTTCAGAAGAGCTATTGGATTGAGCACTCTGTTGAACTGACGGTTGAGGCTATGATGCTTGATTCTAAAGCCGCTGATCTTGACAAAGAAGAACGTCCCGAGGTAATTATTTATTTCTTTTATTCTTTTCATTTCTTGTTCATTTTTTAAAATTTATTTTCTACTCGATTTTATCTATGTATATTTTAGAATTCATCAAATCTATGTTGTGTACATTTTTTCTTTTAAAAAAAGTTCATATTGAACTATGTTTACATTTTAAAATTTATTTCTGTTTGGCTATCAAATTTAAGTTAAGGTTGTTCATCTATGAATGTCTTATTTTGTTATTATGATATGACGAAAGTTAAATTTGCCTTGATGCGTATTATTGCCCTTTAATTGCCGTTGCTGTTCTTTTGTGCTTAATTTTACCCTTCAACTGTTTTTTAGATTCGTAATTGTTCATTGTTTATATATGCAGGTGCTCTCCCTACTCCCATCATATGAAGGGAAATCCATTTTGGAGCTAGGAGCTGGAATTGGTCGATTTACTGGTGAATTGGCTAAGAAGGCCGGTCATGTTATAGCTTTAGACTTCATTGAGAACGTTATAAAGCAGGTTATTGAAACGCAACCTGACAGAAATTATTTAGTTTTGTATTCAGTTAGAGGCTTGATCAGACTTTCTGTTTTGATTTCATTAATTGCAGAATGAGAAGATAAATGGACATTGTAAGAATGTCCAATTCCTTTGCGCGGATGTGACTTCCCCAGATTTGAAATTTTCGGAAGGATCACTGGACTTGATTTTCTCTAACTGGCTGTTGATGTACCTCTCAGATAAAGAGGTCATTTCAGTTTATATTTTATGTGGATGTTAAATTGTATTTGAAATGGTGCATACTCAACATGTTGCTGCCCTCTTGAGTCTTGAATATATTTCATAGCATCTTCTTCAATAACAAGAAAAAAATGGAGTTCATAGGAGCAAGATAGCTATTGATTTCAATTCCAGCCCCCCACCCACAAAAAAAATAACATGGCCATTCCATTTCCGGCTTTGAATGACTAGTAAACCATATTCTTCAAGTATATTTCTTTCTAAAACTTTCATTAAATGCAGGTTGAGAATTTGGCAGAAAGGATGGTGAAATGGTTGAAGATCGGTGGATATATTTTCTTCAGGGAGTCTTGTTTTCATCAATCTGGTGATTGCAAGCGAAAGAACAACCCAACTCACTATCGTGAGCCCAGATTTTACACTAAGGTTTTAATACTTGAATCTGTCTTTAATTAGATGTGATCTGAAAATTGAAGTATGTATGAAACAGAGCTATCTCATCTTTCTTTCATATTCAACGTATGTTTGTCATGCATTCTTATGCAGGTCTTTAAAGAATGCCATGCAACTGATGATTCAGGAAATTCATTTGAACTTTCTCTTGTTGGCTGCAAGTGCATTGGAGCTTATGTTAAGAACAAAAAGAATCAGAATCAGGCAAAAACATGATCTCAAATTAGTTAATTTTTATTTTTCTGTCCAAGTTCTTTTATATTTACTGTCGAGGTGCAACCTATTGTTGGCATGTTCAGATTTGCTGGATCTGGCAAAAGGCTGATTCAGATAATGATAGAGGATTCCAGCGATTCTTGGATTCTGTTCAGTACAAATCTAATAGCATACTCCGTTATGAGCATGTATTTGGAGAAGGATTTGTGAGCACAGGAGGAATTGGTAATCCCTCTTCAGTGAAATGTTTATATCTGTTTATTAACGGAATTTGCTACGCATGAATAGAGGGTATACGGGTGGAAAGATGAAACATGGATATAAACAGTGAAAGTTATCGTACTGATTTAAATTTAAATACTACTTACTGGGATTTATATCTAGCAGTGAAAGTATCAATTAATGAGATTATAGTGAATAGCAGTGTTTCAATATTTTCCATGTTAGGTAAATGATGGTTTTTCTGTCAATAACCTCAAGGTCCTTCCATAAATCCTCAGGCTAACACTTTATTTTGGTTTCTCTTATTCTAGTCAATCATATCACTTGGGCACCCCCACTAAAGTTCTGTTTTTGAGCAGAAACAACAAAAGAATTTGTGGGGAAGTTGGATCTTAAGCCTGGCCAGAAGGTCCTAGATGTTGGCTGTGGCATTGGTGGAGGTGACTTTTATATGGCTGAGGAATTTGATGTCCATGTTGTGGGAATTGATCTCTCCATAAATATGGTATCTTTTGCTCTTGAACGAGCTACTGGACTCAAGTGCTCAGTGGAATTTGAAGTTGCTGATTGCACTAAGAAGATTTATCCGGACAACAGTTTTGATGTCATCTACAGCCGTGACACTATTCTACACATTCAAGTAAGAGGACTCGTTCCCTCATAAGAAGCGTTTTTCCTTTGAAATGATTTAGAGATTTTGCTAAACTTCAGCATAGGCATCAAAATGAGCATTTTAACTGGGGAAATTGCTATCTATTGCACAAATAAACCAATTTGATGTAGTCTACCTCACGGCAATTGCTTTGTCGTCAGATCATTCTTTCTACTTCACATCGTGATCAACTATTTGAAGAATTGTCAATCATTTGGGTTTTTCTAGATCTGCTTTGATATCCTCTCACGTTCCGTGTCTAAAATTGATTTCCAGGACAAACCTGCACTATTTAGATCATTCTACAAATGGTTGAAGCCAGGAGGCAAACTTCTTATAACTGATTACTGCAAAAGTTCCAAGACTCCATCGGCAGAATTTGCCGAGTATATCAAGCAGAGAGGCTATGATCTCCATGATGTAAAATCATACGAGCAGGTATATTCAAATTAATTGTTGTTTCCATTTCTTATCAACGGTTTTTTTGACCTCAGGACTTACCTTTCTGCCTCGCTTTTATTTTTTGCAGATGCTTAAGAATGCTGGTTTCGATGTGGTGGTTGCAGAGGATCGAACCAATCAGGTTCAGATAAGCCTACCGATTTCATTTGCATTATAAGTTCTTGTTATGAAATTACGAAATCAGCTGGGGTTGGCGAGATAAACTAAATGTTGTTCTTGTGCTTTAGTTCATACAAGTTCTGCAGCGTGAATTAAATGAAGTCAAGAACGGCAAGGATGCGTTTATCTCCGACTTCTCTCAGGTGAGTGTTTTGGATTAATTCGATAATCTAGGCGTCTAGGATCCTTAAAAGAAAAAAAGAAAGAACCCAGTAATAGTAAATGATATTGTTTTGGGAATTAATATACAGGAAGACTATGATGAAATAGTCGATGGATGGAAGGCAAAGCTGATGAGGAGCTCCTCATCAGGCGAGCAGAGATGGGGGCTTTTCCTTGCCATCAAGAACTGAGTCATGCTTCTCATCTTATGTTCCTTTCCGTAATAATAAATAAATAAATGCATGCAACTATTTCATGCTGCAATGATCAGCTGTTTTCTTCCTAGTCGATGATGAACGGTATTTCTAGTTTTTTTCTTTTTATGTATTCGTTGCCTCGAATAAATCCTGCTAGTTCCATGGTTACTTTCTGCTACCCACTCTAGTTGTTGAATGAGTTGTGCTCAAGGATGTACTGAGAGAGTGAGGGCAGTCGCTCTATTTGAAAATTTAAAATTATTTTTATAATTTTTTTATTTAAAATTTATTTTCTCTTCAAGTTTGCTTTAAGTTCGCCTTTTTAGAATTTTAAAAGTTTAAATTTATCCCTTCCAACATAAGATTGTGTTTATTCCTGTTGTGCATGATTTGAATCCCGAAGTTTTTTTTTTGTAAGGAGGTTGATTATTTAAGATACATTTCAAAATTTAGTTTCGGCTAAAAATAAAAATGGTTTTGATTAGATGTGGCAAACGGGTCATTCGGACCGAGTTTAGGTTGGGTCATTTTAGGTTTAGATTAAATTTTGTTTAATTTGTTCGGATCAGTTTTGGTTCTTATCTAGTTTGGGTATGCGGTGAATTGGATCAGGTCGGGTCAATTTTTCGATCGATGATTATTAGATCAGTTGTTTTTCGTTTCAGATCAATATCGGATCTGTTGATTTTTGATTTGGGTCAATATCAAGTCGGGTCGATATTAGATTGGTTGATTTTTGGGTCGGGTTAATACCAGATCGGTTAGATTTCGGGTCTGGTCATATCGGATCGGTTGATTTTTGATTTAGGTTAACTTTTAGATTATGTCAATTCAGGTTGAATTGATTATGAGTCTAATCAAAATCAAGTATATATAGAATAATTGATATATACTTGTAAAAATGTCTTATTTGTTAATTTTATCATTTAGGTTTAATTTTAATTCTCAACCGTTCAATATTTTGAATTAAATCTTCATTTAGAGATGATAAATCGATAATTCGATACAAATACAATCGTGATAGAATTTATTATCAAAATTTTATAGTGTTTTCATATGGAAAGTTTATAATGATGAGAACTATTTAATAAAGAAATAAATTTTTTATTAAAATTTTATTTCTAATTATAAATTTAATATTTTTAATAAATTTTAAAAAATAATACATAATTTTATTGGTTATTTGTTAATTTTCAATCGTAACATAAGTAAATTTTATATTATTTTTGTTATAAATTTAATATTATTTCTTTTATTTTAGTTGTTTTCTATTATTTTTATTATAAATATAATATTTTTAATAAATTATTAATTTTATTTAAATTAATTTATTATTGAAAAAAAACTTTTATCGTTTAATAACTTTTATCAATTTTAATCTATTCGGGTTGTTTTCGTGTTGGGTTAAATTTGGTTCGGGTTTCTTTTGGTTTGAGTTAATTTTAGTTTGGGTAAATTTTGGTTCTGGTTTATTTTGGTTTTGTTAAATTTTGGATTGGGTATAATATGGGTTGAGTATCAGATCAAATTTGATTATCATGTTAGAGTTAATATTAGGTATTGGGTCAGGTAAATAGGTTCAGATTAAGTTTGTCGGGTCTAGTTTTGATTGATATGATTAGGGTTAGCGAAATTTGATTTGAAAACACTGGATTTTTGGCTTGATGTTAGGAAAATTGATTCTTTAACTCTATTCATAATTTTATAAATTCAATTTGATTTGAAAAAGTTTTAAATTCGAGTTATAAAATACGACACGAATAATTTAAAATTTTTTGTATAAATAATTGATTGATTTTTAAGTTCGAGTATTAGTTCTACATTATATACATACAAATGAAGAAATATTTATCTATATAATATATGATTATAGAAAATTATTTAAATTACAATAAATTTATTATATTAATATAAATATTTAAATTCTGTAACTTTTGTTTAATAGTTTTAAATGTAATTTTAAAAAATATATTTATAATTTTAAAAATAAAACTTGAAAATCCATATATTTAAAAATATTTTTCTATTTTTTTGCAATTACTACTTAGAATTATTAAAAATATAAAAAACAAAATTTTAATCAGGAATAAATGATATATTTTTTATTAATTTAATATGTCACATTAGCCCTAAAATATCAATATTTCTTTTTAAAGAAATTCAAAATTTGATACTTATTTTATAATTTTTAAAAGTTAAATGATAAAAAATATCATTTTATTACAATTTAATGACTATTTATATATTTATATTGATATATACTGATGTATAACATACATTGTAGACTCATATTTTTAAAATAGTTTAAATTTTAAAGTGGACACTTAACTACTTTCATCCTTAACAAATATGTACCAGTCTCAAATTAGCTAATTCTATTATCATATGTAATGGGGTGAGGATAGTAGATTGTCCCTAACGTCAGGTTGAGTGCAGCTTCCGTGAAAGACTTCCGGCAGTCAGAATTATAAATTGTCCACCGTAAGATTCGATCACACGATCACAAGATTAAAAACCTTGCGCTTTACTAACTGAGCTGGAATAACAATTCTTAATAATGCGCCGCTGATTGCACGCAACACAATGCACATTCAGTATATCATCATGTTATCTCTGCTTCCATTTACAACATTCCACCACAAGTTAGCAAAACTGACAGATGCCCACTCCACTTCCATTTTCTGTTGCATTCTTTGTGAATAATGCATTTAAAAGGCTTATATACTTGTATTTATAGTTTTTCCCCTAATTTGATATTGATTTTTTATTAGTTTTTACTAAAAAAAAGATAATGAATTATTTATTGATTCGCTATTTTAATTTACTCATTGAATTTTACTCTCTATCCTATTTCACTCATCGTACTTTCAATTTTTTTTCAATTTGCTCATTAAACTTTAGTCATTGAACTTTTATGGTCACTAGATCGTTAAATTTCTAACGGCGTTATGACGTTGCTATATTAATTGAAAAAATTTAAAAGTATAGTGAGTAAAATAGAAGAGAGAAAAGTTCAATGAATAAACGTATATTTTATCTTTTTAATTATAAGTCCCATGTGATATGTTTTATTATTAAAATAAGCCACATGAGCACCCCATTACTGAGTAAATGGTTGAGTGACCAAAAAGTTAAATGTATAAAGTTCAGTGAACAAATTGAAAAAATTAAAAGTACGGTGAGTGAAATATGAGAAAAAGTAAAGTTCAGTGAATAAGCATGTAATTTGTCCTTTTAATTTTTTAACCTAAAATATGATGACACTTTCAGCTTATAACATGTGACAATAATGAAGCTCATATGAATTTTGTTTTCCAAAAAACAATATAAAACCAAATTATTTTAGTAATTAGAAGAATAATGGTTATTCTCACGAGTTTTAACACCTACAACTATAGTGAGATGATTGAACGTTTATTATCAAATATTTGAGAATGCTTAGAATTAAATACTAATTTATAATTACTTTAACTTAATTAAAAAAGTTTATAAACTTTTTTAAAATATCTAAAATATTTTTTTAAATATAAACTTTTATAACCTTAAAAAATAGAAGTCTTAATCCTAACCACTCAAATAACTTGTTATAAGTAGGGTGGATATATTTAGTCGAGTCAAATGAAAAAAAAACTGAGTTAGTTGATTTTAAAGTATCATTTTATTATTTAAGTTTTATTTAATTGGATCGAATTTAGGAAAACCAGGTTTAGTTAAGTAAAAAAATATTTGTATATTAGTTGATTCTGACTTAGACGATCGTTTCTAACAATATATGATATACATATATTTTTTATATTCCTTTTTTGTGTAATTAAGGTTTATATTATTATTTAATAAATTAAATATTATTTTAAATTATATTTATAACATTATTTTTCGAAAAAGAGATTTTGAAAATATAGTATTATGGGAAGTATTAAAAGAATAAAGTAATTGAGGAGAAGAACGAATTTACTTAAATATTAAAAAAATGATGAGTATTAAAAGAGTATTAAAGGCATTGATTGCAGTTATAGAGACTTTCTTAAAGAATATTTTGATTATTGTCCGTCTAAATGTTTCCTAACGAACACTTGGGATAAATTGAACGAACAACTTAGGTAATTCAACATCACAACTTAAAATAACGTTTCTAAACAAACAAATTGTATGTAAAGAATAGAAATGCTCGATAATCAAACTAAACTAATTAAAATAAACTTGTTTAGTAAATAGAATATAGGGTAAATTACGTGTTTAGTATCTAAATTATCAATTTTTTTTGTTTTAGTTGTAATACCCTAAATCCCGTGTTAGGAATTTCGAGCTAAACTGTGAGGGCCTTGGATCAACCCATTAGCTTGCAAGAAGTCTTAGTCCAAAAGAGTGTGGAATTGGGCTTGTATTGGGCCCAAAAAAGGTGTTAAAAGGGTACTTTTTTTGTAACGCCTCAAATCCTGGGTTAGTATATTCGGGTTGACCCGAGATGTTTAGATGAGCCCATTCACCTTGTAGGGAAGTTTGGTCCATATAAACTAATAGTTGGGCCTTGCTTTGAGCCCAATTCAAGATGAGAAAGGATAGTTTTAATATTAAGATAAAAGGAGGACTAAAAGAGTGATTAATCCTTTTTCCAAAACAAAAGTTGATTTCTTTTTAAAAATTGGATGATTCACGTAAACCACTTCACTTTCTTTATCCCACTAAACACTCTTCCTTATTTTATCTCTATTTATTCTTCTAATTTCTCTCCAAAGTTTGCATAAAAGGTGGAAGCTTTAAGAATTTCAAGCTTAGTTAGGTTTAGAAAAGGTAAGAATATTAATCTCCATCCATCAAGATTCAATTCAAGCCATCAATCTCAAGTTTTAGACTTAGAAACCAAGAATGAGTTTCATGGAGGTTTAAGAGAATCAAGTGATTCTAGTCCGTTTTTAGTGGATTTAAGTTATATGGAGTGTTCTTAACTCTAATCCAAGCCCCTAGATAAATTAGTAATTTCTTTCATTTGTTTAGTAAAAGAAGTGGGAGAAAGCTCAAGGCAAGGAGAAAGGAGAAATTGACCATTGGTTGATTTGGAAGAGGTTCTAGCAGCTAAGAAACCAAGGTAACATATTCACAACTCTTTCATATCATTTGTGGAACATTTAAAATGCATTCTAGCTTAAGAGTTGAGTTATGGAGAATGT